TTCTAAATTGCTGCTCTTTTTTAATAGAGGTCAAAATGCTGATGATAGTGAAAAGGGAGCTCGGTCTGGAGGTGGTGCAGGTGGAAGTGTTTGGATTGAAGTCGAAAATTTAATCGGCAATGGTGAGAACCTATTTTGTAGTTTTGCAATGCAAGACTACAAAATGTTAATACAACATTTTATTCTGATTGAAGGGCCATCACATTTTCCAGATTAAATATAAAATAAATAAACTTAAAATTCTTTGGGAAACAGAAGACCAATTCAGAGTTCATACAGCACAGATTGCAGGTATATTAACATGAGTCTTGGACTATTCATGTCCTATGTTTTAAACTTTTTGCACTTTTTGTCTTTTATTCTACATTATTTCTGGAGATGAACCCTAATTTTGGAGTCAGTGTAAAAAAATTTAGTCAATTTTCAGTTTACTCAAAAGATTTGGCTATTTTTGTCTCAATCTTCTGAAGGAATGTGCAGACTATAAACAAAACTATTTTGTTAGTGTGTAATTAAAAGAGGGCGGTTAAATAGTTAAAGAATTAATGTCCAGCATAAACATCTCATAATTGAGAGGTGTAAAGTTTAACTGCTACCATGTTTGTTCTATTGGAAGCGCAACTTCAGTAAAAGCATAAACCAAAAATTTTATTTATTGTGTACTGGATCATTAAAATATGACTTATTTTGAAACACTTCTGTAATATACATAAGCTCAAAAAAATAGTATATTTATTATTTAAAGTGGATGCAACTTTTACTACATGTAATTATAATATTTGAAAAATTGTCATCAAGATTAATCTTTACATTTTGGTTTATTGTAACAGGGAAGATAGATGTGAGTGGAGGCGATGGTCATTTTGAGGTAGATGGATTGTATCACTCTGGTGGTGGAGGTGGGGGAGGCTATGTGTCCATTGGTTATGGAGAAGCACATGTAACATCTCTTGAAAATATTGCTACTCATGGGGGAATTGGGTATCAAAATGGTGCTGCTGGAGCTGTGTATACAGAAGAACTCATTGACTCAGGAACGACATCAAAGGTACACTATAAAATATCTTGTTATGTATCAACAACAATGCATTGGCTAGTTGTCTGACAGTACCATTTTTATTGCAGTAATATTAGAATTTCAGACTGGATACGGTTACTTGCATGGTGTACTTACACTAACTCATAATAAAAACAAGTTTTGCTCTCCATCTTTCTCTCAACAAGTTGTCTGTGGCCATTTATAAATAAGTTCTAGTGTTGGAAATTATGATAACATAGCTAGAGTAATATCTGTGAATTGTTGGAATGATACATTATGGCTTGGCTGATAGGTAAATCATTGAACTGGTATCTGTTGTCATATAGCTTATAGCATACAATATGAACATGAATTGATTGATTCACTTCCAATTCTTTATTGAATCATTACCTGCTTGGTAAAAATTATGCCACATATTACACACATGTGACTTATATACATGTAATTTTTATATTCTGCAGGTACTCATAGATAATAAACATATGTCAGCGGATGTTCTAAATGGTGACCCAGTGTTCTCTAATATTAATTTTCATCCTGATATATTTCGCTGGTCATTTGACGAGGTTCAATTACTAGGAAGCTCTAATGTCAAGTTTGTTGATAGAAGTGACAGTACTGAACAGTCTATCTGTGTTAATATTGGTAAGATTAGTGGAGACTGGACATCTTTATTGAGTGTGGAAACCAAACAGGAGGTATATGTTGGTGATTGTGGTTGTATTGGTGGATGCCCATTTAGTGGTAAGGAAACTGTCTTAGAATTCAATGTTAAAGTGGATAAAAACGCACGCTTTGGAACGACTGAGACGCTCCTACTTACCAAAAGAACTCAGTTAGATGTTTGCGGTCAACTGGTAAATACGAAAGACATAACAATTCAGCATGGTGGGGAATTGCTTCTTGGTTATCCTGCCAGCACCTCTGGTAAACCTGGTGGTGAGATGAATCTTCAGACGGTGCAACTCTTCAAACAGGGCACATTGAAACAATCAGATAGCTGTGAGAATCCTCTTGATAAACTACTCCATGTACATGTATCTCACTTTATTAAGTATTACAACTCAACCCTTGATGTAAATGGATTAAATATAACACAGAATGTGTATGAAGACATTGACATAGGTCCTACTCTACCTATGTATTGCCTTGAGACAGACCATCTCCATTTGTTAACTGGACAGGATTGCTCATTGAAACCTGGAGCTTACAGCTATAATTCTATCACAATTGAGAGTGGAGCAATCATGTTTATCGAAGGTGACTCATTAGGCATAGATTTAACTCAGATCACAGTCACTCAAATGGTGATTCACGCAGACGGTCTTATCACTGGTAATGGAGCTGGACATCATGGTGGTGGTGATGGTTTAGCTACTGGTATTAATGGTGCAAGTCATGGAGGACGCGGTGGGGGGAATACAGCAGTTGTAAGCTTGTACGGTAGTG